CAACAACCACTCGACGCCAATGCTCGGGCAGCTTGCCTGTCGATCTTCATCTTCAGTGGAATGAAAAGGGGCTTCGAAAAATGCTGCGTGTCCCTCTGACCTCGTCCTTTGTCTTAAGTTTCTTTCCATCCGGGTTACGCGAGGGGAGGGGAAGAGTCAGTGTTCCGTGGGGTTGTAGGTCCAGGTTGCTAATACACTGGGCACTACATAAGTGATGCTTTTTCTAAACTCCTGTCGTATACGCTGAAAGAGGGAGATCCGAGGAAAACCATTTTAAAGACTTATGTGATCAACCTAATAATTAATAACATGACTCAAAATTTGCTATCGAAGTGTGCCCCACTTCTATTTTGGGGTGAGATAGGAGGAAAGCTCAACGTCAGGCGAAGTTGAAGTCATAAAAACGATTGGGCGATAGGACGGGTAGTGACAAGTGTCACGGCTATGTAGGGAAGCTTTCTGCCATTCTGTCAAATTCCGCTTAATCACTTCAATACTGCGGCAATCAGGGTCACGCATAGCGTAACAGAATTGGCTCTACTGCTTCACAAGCCCTCTGGGACCTTCCATACATGTCTTTCCAACTAGGAAAAGGGTAACGGAAGGATCTGTATGCATATATGGAGCTAGGGCAGGCAGTTTTTCCTTAGTCATGAACTATTATGAAGTAGACCATTCTCCCCTTAAGCGAAAACGACACCCACCTTTGCATAAGAATAAATTTGAAGCTTCCCGGGGTTTTAATGAGCCTTTCACTGCTATGCATGATAGATATTCACTAATAAAATATTTTCGCGGTCACCCATTCGAGAAAACATCGTTTTTGATGTCGATTCAGTCAGTCAACTCATAAGGTGCTAAAAATCTCATAATCCTACTGTGAGCCCAACTTCGGAAGTATTTTGACTGAGAAAACATAATGTACTCACAACGATGCGCTTCATTGCTAGATACTCGAGCATAACGAAGTTTGTCGATCGGGTGTGGCACGAATGAGCATCCGAACAGGAGACATCAGAAGGTAGGTCATTTTTTAAAATTACAATTCCTAGATTTCTGTAGAACCTACTGCATATGTAGTGTTAATAATTTGTGCCTATCTTGCTCGTAGTAGTAGCCAAGAAAAACAACCAAAAAATGCTTGCATCATGAGGGGACAATGTTAATCGTCTCCAATGCTGTAAAAGAAACAAACTTTTGTTACAGTCACTCACGTAGCGTTTTCATACTACTGTAGTCGAATTTTTCGATAGTAATAAGAATTTCTGGAGAACTCATTGGGTTTTAAGATTACTGAGCTAAGAACAGAAATATTTTACAGAGGCATTCAACTTGCTCGTGACTTACACGGACGAGTGGTGAAGCGAGATTGCGCCATTATCCTCGAGCAACTGAAGGTATCCTTACAGGAATAATCTGAGATCGTCTTGTAAGAGGCACCCAACTATTCAGTCTGTAACCAACTAGCCGTAAACTTTTGCCCCACTAAGGCCTCCATGATGCCGTTCGATCTAGTAAAGCTCAATATTTCAGCAATACGGTGAAGCAGCCGATCTTTACGAGCTTGGTCAGTTCTATGATCGTGCAGCAGCTGTGTGCCTGAAAGCAAAAGCATGGTCGGAATTCAGCATAACTAGATTCCCTTTTAGCCAACTTAAAAAAAGAATTCAAGTAAAAGATCTTCTTCAGGGGGAAGGTGGGTGAGCTCCTTCCTAAGGTTCGATCACCAAAGATCCATGCACAGTATGGGAAAATTATGGAAGCCGAAAAACGCTACAAGGAAGCGGCTGTGGTAGGGACACTTTGTGCTTGCTTCACTTCTGAACCCCACATCTGCTTTGAAAGTAGATCTTAGAAGATACTATTGATCTATCAATTATGTTTGTGAGATGGGATGCAAGCCTGCATCAAATCTAAAAAATATAGATTATTGTGAACAATATCATGTGAGAAGTTAGTCATTGAACATTCACGTAATACGGTGCAATAAAACCTCCCATTATGCCTGACCAATGCGATACCTACAATCTGACATCATTAGGCCTACCGAAACGCTCGTGATTACGACAACCTGGTTCGAATGCTTTTGGATCACTTGAACATGGCTGAAGAAGCGGTAAAAGTCGTACGAGAAAGTCGAAGTATTGAAGGAGCGAAGTTGGTTGCCAAGTGAGTTCCACAAAGTCACACCTCTTCAGACTCTTTTCTTTCAACTGAAAATCCAGCTTCCTAATAAATCGAATTGGTTTTTAGATTCTTCTCCCAATTGGGAGATCATGCATCGGCTATTCGTTTCTTGGTGCTAAGCAATTGCCACCAGGTAGTTTTTTACGCTACTGAAAGTTCTGAAGTTATTGCTTTAAGCGCAACGGACACTCCCATTTGTCCAGTGCACTTATTTATCCTCGTACTCCCCAGGAAGCATTCCAACTTGCTGAAGCGACAGACCATGTGGCTGAATATGCAGACTCTATAGAGGCTGACGGCGCCACTCAAGACCAAATGGCCCAACTAGCCGAGTATTTCGCCGGTGCTGGTGATGCCCATAACGCCGGGCGGTTCTATCTACGTGCAGGGCACTACCGAGCAGTAAGTTTTTGCATGAAAAAATTAACCATAAGGTGATTGGTCGATTGAAAATCGAATGTTGATTGAAGGCATTGGAGTACCTGATGGCATGCGGTGAAAATCACGACTCACTTCTGCTGGCTATCGAATGTGTTGCGGCGGCTGGCGACAGTAAACTGACAGCCAGGCTCACTGACTACCTAATGGGAGAGGTCGATGAGATACCGAAGGTAGAGACATCTTTAACGTCAAGGCTTTTCTCAATTCAAAGGTGGTTATTATTATACAATCGCGCTGGTTCAGCCCTCACATGGCAGGTAGGAATTCAGTCCTATAGAAATCGACATGCTTACAACATAAAAAATACGGGTGAAAATGATGCAGTGGGGGCTAGAACTNGATACCGAAGGTAGAGACATCTTTAACGTCAAGGCTTTTCTCAATTCAAAGGTGGTTATTATTATACAGCCCTCACATGACAGGTAGGAATTCAGTCCTATAGAAATCGACATGCTTACAACATAAAAAATACGGGTGAAAATGATGCAGTGGGGGCTAGAACTTTGCCAATTCCGCCTTCAGCTCCAACGAAGGAGGAAAGGATGGGGAAGCAAACTTGAGCCATTAAGTTAGCCACTTCTAGCCCATATTTTGCCGCAGCAACGACACACCCTGGCTTCTCCGTGGACAAGGTCCCCTTCCACAAAACAATCACTAGACCCAAGAATCAAGTAATGTGGTTTTGATATTGCAAATTGCACTAGTTGGTGTCTCGGAAAGACTCTTGGGAAAATCAAGGGGTACTTGAAAAAAATTTCAAATCACGTTAGTTCAAGCTCACCTTTGACTTTCTTAAGGATGCCAAATATCTGTTCCGCCTCTATGTTGCCCTTGGAATGACCAGAGAAGCCGCCACGACAGCTGTGGTCATCGCACGTCAAGAACAGGAACGTGGTTCATACACGGTAGCACGGAACGTACTTTTAGCTATGTATCAGGTAAGACAAAGTCCTGAATACCTCGAAAAGTAAAGGTAATATGTAAATTCATTTGTCATAGTTGAAAAAAAAAACCCGAAAGACCGTTACCTGTTGCTGACCAATCAGCAACTCCAGGCCTCTCCATTCATGATTGACCATGCCTCTGCCACTTGAATCTTTCTCGCCTAAGCCTAACAAGAGTGAAACTACGGTGCAAATCCCAATTCCAACCGTAATTTGACAATTGCTTCAAATTACTAGTAACCATAGAACAGTATAACGTCGTACTAGAACAAGTGCTGGTTGCAACGAAGTAACCTGAAGGAACGGTAGGATTACGGTCAGCAATTAGAAGCACAGTTAGTATTCATTCACTCCTCTTACCTACATACATCTCAGACAACTGCATAGGCAGTCATGGACCAGAGTTAAATGCTTAGAAAAGCTGAAGCTAAAGTCAACACGCTGAATGACTGGATTCTACGTTCACTTTGCAGGAATTGGTGGCCAAACAAATCAAAGTCCCCCATGATATGCAAAACAGTCTGATGATAATACATTCGTATCTGATAGTCAAGGTAAGATCTATGAGTTATTCGATCCTAAGTATTTCTACGTCTAGTTCGAAACGATCAAGCAGTTTCCCTATCCACTTGCAAGAAATGCTTCCTTTGACCACTACCTTAAACTTATATATTTCAAGAGTCTGTTGAAAAGAAATGAAACCCTGAGAGCAGCTAGGATGTTGATTCGCACAACTGCTAACATCAGTCGATTTCCAGTTCGTGAGTTTTGAATTTTTGATCAAATAATACAATGCAAAATTGAATCAACCAAAACAAGAATACATTAAATGGTTCGTAAATCTTCAGCAGGATAAAAAAAACCATTATATCAATATCGATTTATATTTTTAAAGTATACTGTACCTCATTTGCACCATACTGCATCTAAACCTGTAGAAAAAAAGAACAGCTGTAGGTGCATAAAAATAAATTTCGAATTCATACAGATGTGGTACCGATCCTGACATCAGCAGTGGTGGTGTGCTCAAAAGCCGGTCTCAAATCCGCCGCTCATCGAGCTGCGGTTCAACTCATGCAACCAGAATTTCGCCAGAAAATTGACGCCAAATACAAAAAGAAAATCGAGGCTTTTGTTAGGTGAATATGGTTACAAGTAATAAAGAAAATACACTTGTAACCAGCAGGTGCAGAACCTAAATAGTTGATGCTAGTCAATCAACCTAGCGACGAATGAATTAATCATCCCATTCAGGAGAGCCGACAAAACGGACGATTCTGAGGAGACTCGCCCACCATGTCCTCATTGTGCGTATCCAGTACCGGAAACGGAACTGGCATGTGATAACTGTAAATCTACAATACCCTACTGTATAATTACGGTCGGTTACTGTAATTATAATTGGATTACTATTCGCTGATAACTTTTCTCAAGCCAACTACATAATTTCAGGGTCGACACATAGTGGATTCCGATTTTGCTCAGTGCCCATCATGCGAATTCCCAGGATATTACTCTGAATTTAAAAAGTGGGTGCAAAACTTGTACTCCTTCAAAATTTTTAATCATTTTCTCATTTTATTTGATACATTTCTGTTTCTTGTGGCTTCGCAAATTATTGAATCCTATCACATTGGAAGGATAATTGAAAAATAGAAAAAACTTACTTTCGTATAGGTAGGTAAGAATTGGGGGAAGCTCATCATAAAGAACTTAAAGGCACTGTTAACAAAAACATTGTTTCGGACATTTGCACATAGTTTGAATTCGACGCCCCCTCTGATACCATTTGTGCAGGAATGAGGTCGGAAAACGGCTGAATAGGGCACAATCAGGGGTCGGACAGATATCCACGGTCGCCCTCCGCCCCTTGATCGGTGTCACGTTAGACGAGTGTCGAGACGACACAGTGTCATGTAATCGCGCCAGGACCCACCCTGAATTGCAAATTGGCAAATTGCCAGGGACGCAATGTGTTGCATGCTATTGCAGACAACACATTGCGTCTCAGGCAAGTTGCCAATTTGCCGTCCCTGGCAATTTGCCAACTTGCCCGAACACTCTCTAACGGGTGCGCTT